GGGGACACCCCTCCGTTTTCCCTGGGTGGGCGTCTCTTCTCCGGGGAGCTGCGAGGCGCCCCCGCCCCATCCCAGGTGTCCGCTCCTCTGCTCGCGCTGCACCGTTCCCTTCTCCCCCCGAATCCATCTCGCCTTGCGGGGTGCCCCCCGCCCAGGGCCGAGCCCCGTGGCCGGGGGGGTCTGGCCCGTAAGGAGCGGTCTCTCCGTGAGCGCTGTGCTGGGCTGCGCATCCACCCTCTGGGCCCCTTTCCAGCTCCCCGTAACCTGCCTTTCCCACCTGGATTCCAGATCAAATCCCAACAGAGCGAAGTAACCAGAATCCTCGATGGGAAAAACATCAAGTACGAGCTGGTGGATATCTCCCAAGACAACGCTCTCCGGGAGGAGATGAGGGCAAAGGCAGGCAACCCCAAAGCTATCCCACCCCAGATTGTCAATGGAGACCACTACTGTGGGGTAAGGCTGGTGCTCTGCTTGGGGGATGAGCATCATGGAAGCTGGGTGGTGGGCAGGAATCCCGTCCCCTTGTTTTGGCTCCAAATGGTGTCATGACACCTTTCAAAAAGCGCTTGTTGTGAGGTGCATGGACAAGGTGCTGCCAGGGTTAGCGGCCGTTTGGAGCACGGTGGCTTGTGAAAAATGGGACCCAGGCAGGGGGACTCTGGGTGACCCATGGGCAGCGGGGCTGTCATCCTGTCATCCTCCGTGTGACTGTCACCTGTGCTGTGAACCAGTTTGTGCTGCGTGCTCCGGAGACCCCATGCTGCCTGACTGATGGGAGAATACAGCTTGTTCTTGCCTTGTGAGCAACCATGTGGTTTTTCCCTGCAGGATTATGAGCTTTTTGTGGAAGCAGTGGAGCAAAACACTCTGCAGGAGTTCCTGAAGCTGGCCTGAGCCTTGGGCTCCCCTCCCATCCTGGACTCTACCTGCCTTCCTGAGCACCCTCATCTCCGACCACCTTCACTTCCAGGTTGTCAGCACTGTCCTGGCACCGCGACCTGTATCCCAGCACAGGGAAACCCATGACCAAAACTACTCATTGCAGCTGCCTACGATTCCCCCCGCCTAACCCTGATAATCATCTCCGAGGGACCCAAAGAAAGCCTGACGCTCGCTGCGCATGGCCTTTGAACAAAGCTGGGCCTGGCTCACACCGCAGCTTCCAGTGCCTCCGTAAACAGCAAAGCCTCTGGGGTGTGCGAAGTGCGGCTGGCCGTCGGCCCTTTCCTCTGCAGGGAGAGCTGCTGCTTCGGGAGGGAAGGGCTTAGGGTTGCATGTTACTTCCCACTTTTCCTAGTTGCTGTTAAAATTGTAAATCCTACTGCCTCACTTCCTTTTTTTTTTTTATCTCAACTGCGCAGATGATGGCAACTAAGTTGATTTCTGTTTGGTTTGTTTTAATGCAAAAATACTGCACAACGGTGGGGTCTGACCACCCGCCGCAGACAAGGCCAGGGCTGGGGGCGAAGGCCGGTGGCGCTCAGCCGGCTGCCAGGGGGGATGGATGGGCCTAGAAGTGGGACCAGCACTGCTCCAGTGCCAGGGCTCCCTTGTGAGCGTTAATGGCTCAGGGCTGCTCCAGAACAGCTGATGCTCCAGCTGTCTTATCTTTCCTCTCTGAGTTGGCTTTTTTGCAACCTGGACCAAGTGCATTTTGTTTTCCTGCCAAAAAGCAAGTTTATAACCAGTGTTGTCTTCCGAGATGCTATTAAATGTTACTGTACCTTTCACGTTAGTACTTGTGGGTTTCTTTCAAATTTGGTTTTATTTTGACTACAGGTTAAACATCAGCCTACGTAACGATTCTGAGTCATTTCCAGCTCAGAGAAGCTGAGTCAGTTGTACTCGCTGCTGCAGCCTGACAAAAGATCTTAACACCTTAGACTGCTGCCGCTAATCAAAGGCTCCCAGGACTTGTCTGAATATCCTACAGCGCGGCAGTGACAGGTACCTCTCTCAAGCATTCCTCTGCTCTGCGTGGTAGGAATGGCAGCCTGGGGGAGGACAGCTTCAGCCAGACATAGGAGTGAAAAACAACCCCCTGGCACAAAAATTACGTGGTGAGTTACAGACTGCCTTTACAGCAGAGGGCAGTGGAAAAGGTTAGGCTATAGGAGGGTTCCCTGTACACTCCTGTATTTACTATAGGTGGAAAAAGGAGGAAACTAAGTTAGAGCTGTGGGGATTGAGTCACTGGTCATGGGGAGCCCGTGGAAGCAGCTGTTTTGTGTGAGTGGTGCTTCCTGTATTGAAGCAGGGTCTGGGTCTGGAAAGAGCTCCGGGCATCCTGCCCCTTTCCACAGCAACTACGCCTCTGAAATCTTAATGGAAGCAGAAACTGCAACTTAAATAAATGGTGTTATTGGGAGCCTTTAATGAGGGCTGGGGCTCTGCTAAAAGGGAACCTGCCAGAAGGTGCTGCCTCGCACAAGTGGGAGTGTCGGCAGCTGGGAGTCAAGTGGGAGCTTGTCACAGCTGAAACAGGAAGAATGTGGGGAAGGGGGCCTGCAAGGAGGAAGAAGGAGGAAGATGCTTTACTCAGAGTTCAGCAGAGAAGCAGCGAAGGGATTATGCTCTTCTCCAATGACATGGTGTCCTGTTGCAGCAGCTCGGGGCCGCTGCGGGCAGGCTCAGTGTGACCGTGAGCCTGGGCCCCGCTGCAGCTGGGGGCTGGCCAAGGGAAGGAGTTGTTCACGTACAGGAAACCCAGTAGCAGGATCTCCTGGCTGAGATGGGGCTGGCTCGGTCCCAGCATTGCAATGGCTTCAAGGCCTCTGGGTTTAGCTTCACCAGGGACTGTATCACTGAACCAGTTTCTCTCATGGTGTAAGGGGAGTTGAAATCCCTGGGGAGCAGCTGTGTGTGGAAAGCAAACTGATCCTGGCTGTTTGTCTGTCCTGAGCCCAGCTGAGCAACTGTCTGGTACCAGTGCAAAGCTGGTGGCCTTCCCTGGGTGGGGACCAGCCTGCAGAGGTGAGAACCCCAGCCTCAGGTTTGAGCCGATGAACGCCCCTGTGTTAGGAGCCCACCCATCTTGGGGAAAAGCATCCGCCCATGAGGCAGCAGGACTGGGCCTGGCACCCTCTGCCAAAGGGAGAGGCCAAACTGCTGCCTCCGAGCTCTTCTCTCCGTCCCGGGTAACAGCACAATGACACTGGTCTTGGGGAAAAGCATCTGCCCGTGAGGCAGCAGGACTGGGCCTGGCACCCTCTGCCAAAGGGAGAGGCCAAACTGCTGCCTCCGAGCTCTTCTCTCCGTTCCGGGTAACAGCACAATGACACTGAACCCAGCAAGACACCCCTCTGCACTCCCGTCCCAGCTGGGTGAGGCTGTGACAGCTGGTGGTGCAAGGCAGCTCTTTCCTTTTGCAGGGAGCAGCTGCTGGTAGGAGCTGTTAAGCTGGTTGCAGCCGTGTTCCCCCCTCTTGTTGGGAGGGGTCTCTTCTCCGCAGCAGCAAGGAGGCGTTTGGGATCAGCCCGCCTTCCTGCAGGCTCCTGGGGTTGTCAGCGTACACCCTCTGGGGAAAGGTGCTGATGATCTCATACGAGTCGGAGTCTCCACCCCTAGGAAAGAACAGCACAGTCTTTCCCGCACACGGGATCCCCCAAGGTTTTGCCGAGATGCTCTGGCTGATCCAGCTGTGGTTTTGTAAGAGCAGAGGGAAAGACCGTTCCACAAGCACAGGCCGAGCAGAAAAAAGGGCTTCCTGCCCAAAGTGCAAGCAGCCAGGCACGGAGTGGCTGTTCCAGCCCGCGCAGCTGCGCCGGGGAAGGAGGCTCTTGCATCCCGACAGCAGTGAGCTCATCGTGGGCTCGGACAGAGGCCAGAGCTACGGCCTGCAGCAGGATCTGGGAAGAGGGGAAGAGCAAAGGGGTCCCCTCAGCTGTCTGGAACTGTCCCCAAAGGGACATGTGAGGCCTTGGGCAGCGTTAAATGCGTTGGGATATAGAGCTGGCTAAGCGAAGGATGGTGTTTATCCAGCAGCTCATCCCACAGCCAAGCTGAAGGCTGCAGCTCAGCCTCCTCACCGATGCCTTGGGAATGGTGGCAAGAGGTGAGCGCTGCGGAGCAGCTGGAAGTGGGCAAAGGCAGTGATGGACCTGGGTCAGATGGCAATTTTGGGAGGATGAAAGAAGCTTTTCTCTGCTGCTGTGTCAGCTTTTGGCGAAGGTGGGTATGAAATGCCCTGAGCTAGGCATGACCCTGGCAGTGCTGCCCACAGAGCGTCTCTGGTGGTGGAACCAAATCAGCAGAGGATGCCCAGCAGCTCCTGGGGTTGTGATTGGCACTCCCAGCCCTGCTCAGCTCAGGCTGATCCGTTTGAAGCACAGCTCCAGGGCCTTGGGTGGCATCTGGGATACCTTCCCTGGGGCTCTACAGGGCTGGGTAGGGAGTGAGGAGGGAGGAAGTCCAACGCCTACCTGGCATGGGCGAGGTGTTGGCGCAGGTCCCCTATGGTCTCTGTGAACAGCATCTTTACCACGTAGGTCTGCTCCCCGCTCTCAGATTTGATGCGGAGGGTGCAGACGTCAGGGGCAGAAGCTTCAGCCTCTCCAGCTGTCTTCACCCTGGAGGTGAGAAAACCTCTTCAGCTGAGGAGCGAAGGCTCTGCTGGGTGATTCGAACAGGCAGAGGCGTTTCATGTTTGGGAATGTCCTTGGGATGAACAAGGCAAGCAGACCAACCCACAGATCAAACTGCTGCTTTGCTTTCCCTGCTTAGAGGTGCCTTGGAAAGAGGGTTGCTGACCTTTTTTAGCTTTTTCATTTTAGATCACGGCTGTCTGGTAAGTACTTCGCCCTACTTTTTTGATTAAAAATAATCTGCTTGGGTTTTTTTTTCATTAGCTATTTGGGGCTTATCTTGCCAGAAGACTATGAGTGGAAAAGTGTTGTTAGCGTGCCCTCCCACTTGGGCATCAGCTTCCTGGAGGAATTCTCCCGTTTAACATGACCGCAAACAGCTCTTTAGATGGTTTCAAACTTTTAGGCCTTGGCTTGCTGTCAGGAGAAGTATTTCACAGCAATAAGTAATATTTTGAACAACAGAAGCTTTTGTTAGAGATGTAAAAGATGGCAGGTACACCATGAATCATACAGAGGTCTTCCCAAAAGACCAAACTTGCCCTTTTTTTTTTAAATTATTTCTAAGGTATAAGATAAAATGGACAAGTCCGTTTACTTTCTCAACTGAAACCTCTGAAATAAACACTTGGTGATGAAATAGGAGGAAGATGAGAGCCTGACAGGGTAGGAATGGAGGGACCATGCCTGTACCTCTCCATGGTAGACAGCCTGGGTGTCTCCATCAGGATCTCTTTGCTGCTCCATATTCCATCAGAGCCCTGAAACCAAACGAGGTGAGTGGTACCACTGCCTGCTCTACACGGAGCCAGGAAAGCCCAGGAGCAGGTGCCAAAATGCCACGTGTGCTCTGGTAGAGCCTCTCTGGGAGGAGGAGGAGGGAGGACCTGAGGAATTCCTAGTGTGGGAATCACTGCTGGCCTCCTCCTGCGAGTGTTTGGGGGGTCCACTCATACCTGCTGTGCTGCTCTGGCTGAATCTTGGACACCGGTTGCTTCTCCTCCACGTTTTGAGAACTTAGAAAGCTTGTTGAGAAACTGCTCCAAGGAGAGTTTGGGACCTGCCAGAGCAGAGGGGAGACATGTCTGTGCGTGTCCTTCTTGATAAACCATTTTCCCCCAGAATACGTTGATTTGGTGAACGGAGAGAGTGGAACAGCCGACAGGGAGAGCTCTAACCTCCCCCAGCTAGGCTGGCACTGGCTCTTGGTCTCCTCTATTGAAGCTTGTCCCACTTTCTGGCCCACAAGATCGTCAACATCAATAGTGAGCAACTGTGCAGCCCGTTCAGCCCGCAGCTGCGAGGCACAACAGATAGAAACCTGGTTAGCCCTGCTGTGAACAGGAAAAACTGGAACTATGACAATTTTTAAGCATTTAGAAAATTTTTCCTCTAATGAGGGTGTATTTGTAGGTGTCCTCTCCTTTTTCTGTAGTGGTACTGGGCAATTTTTTTTCTTACTACTTGGATAAAGGAAACGTTTAGCACAGCTTCTGTTTGTGAATGCCCTTGAGAGGAACGAGCAAGTAGTGAAGTTTCATATAAATAGGAAGATGTTGCTGACAGGCAATGCAAGTGTTTGGGTTATTTGGTTATGCATGCACAAACCCACTATTTTGTGTCTATATGACTGACTGCATTTGACTTTCCAGCTCTTGAAAGAATCTAGAATCAAAATGAGAAATCTGTGACCTCACCTTATGTCCCATATTCTCTTATGAAAGTCTGAAGAGGAATCGTCCCATATTTGATACAGTTAAT